TTTGTGGGACGTTGCTGTACATCAGTCGGCTGCTGTGTTGGCCTAAGAAAATGACATCTGTGGTCACAAATCACTCAAGTCACCCACGTATTCTACACCAAACCAAACCACTCTGCACCAAACCACCCACCACTAGTGCTTCCAGTCATTGTTTCCGCCAGTGTTCTGCCTCACAGAGCAACACTCCTCGTGTTAAAAGATGAGGAGAAAACTCTGTAGCAACCAGCTGAACATCATGGTACATTGTGACGTCAGCCAAAAGAACTAACTTCACTTGGAAATTTAAACCAAGAACTCGCCCAGTTTCCTCTGTTCCCCGGTGGCCTTGTCTTATTGGGCTGATCCACAGAAAATAACTTCCTGTGTTCCCCCACCCCTCTCTCTCTCTCTTTTCCCCCCCCCCCACCTCCCCCGGTTCCCCTCTTGGGTTTTGTTGATCTCATTGTTTGTTACTCGCTCAGTCTACCTTCCTGTCTTGACCGGATTGCGGACAATGAGCTCTTCCCGGTTGGGAGAGAAGAATAGTGGCGCGAGGAAACAATGAGGACCTGAACACAATGGGGATGTGGTCGAGCGTTGGGTGTCCTGCGAATCGGAGGCCTGTAACTCAGTGGTTAGAGCACTCGGGGAGCCGAAGGTTCCTGGGGATGAAATGCTCCACGGACACGGGAAGAACAAGTGCAAATACTCGCTCGCTCGCGCGCGTGCACGCACACGCACAGCGTCTGTAACGCAAAGCCCCGGCACAGATCTGTAGTGGACCGAATGAAAGCAGAGAAAGCTGGATAATAATAATAATAATAATCCTTGCATTTGACACAGCACCTTATCACTTTGTTGAAACGTCTGAAAGCGCTTCACGGGATACACTGTAAAGTGTAGCGACTGTATATTTTGTGGGCGAAACGCAGCAGCCAATTGCGTACAACGGCGTCCCCACAAACAGTCGTGGATTGAGTGACATTATTATTATTATTATTAATTTGATAATGGATGTTTTAGGAATAAGGTCAGAACGGAGAGCGCAGCAAGTAAAGCACAGGAAGGAATGAAGGAAAGAGTAATAAAGGGAACAAAGAAAAATCACATCTTGGGCTGTGTTGAGGATGGTTTCCTGACTGTGCGCTGGGGGGGGGGGGGAAGAGTTGGCATATAGTGCTCGAATAGAGACATGTGCACAGTCTGCACGGCTCAGATAGCGACTCCGAGACCTCAAGACTTGTGCTTTCATCATCGTCAAAGCCCTTCCTGCCCGTCTGGCTCCTCGCTGCCTTTTACAGGCTGACCCCCCAAAAAGTTGTGATATCTTCCCTATTATCTAAAATATGAATATATATCATCATTTCTTTCAGACTTATTAGACACTGTAATGGTGTCAGGACTTTTGGTCTCCCCGTGCTTCTGGAGCTGGAGGTGCAGTCGGGCAGGGCAGGCTGCTGGTTCCGTCCGGTCTGTGAAGTCAGTGACGCTTTTCCTGCTTTTGATAGCAGGATGGATTCAGCGTCTCCAGGCTGAGAGGAAGGGTAGAGCCAGAGAGAGAGAAAGGGAGATTGAATGCTGACACAGGAAGCTAACAGTATTACACGTGCCGATGGAGTCCAACAAGCCTGTCTTTAGATTGTTCTCTTTCAGATTAGGCATTGTTATAAAAATAATAATAATCCTTGCATTTGATACAGCGCCTTATCACGTCCTCGAGACGTCTCAAAGCGCTTCACAGAATAGACTGTAAAGTGAATTGACTATATTTGTGGGCGAAACGCGGCAGCCAATTGGGCACAGCAGCGTCCCCACAAACAGTCGTGGATTGAGTGACCGTATTATTATTATTATTTTTTTGAGGGATTATTATCAGGCGTGTGTGTGGAGTAAGGAAACTTACCCAAGGTTTCGCCCTGCCAGGAATCAAACCCGGGTCCTCTCGCTTGCGAGGCGAGTGCTCTAACCACTGAGCTACAGGACTCCTGTTGTTGCAGTATTATTACTACTAATAATAAATAATTTGCCTTCATTTACATGAAACAAACATGAAGCCCAAGCTCTTTGGAGACCGTAATTGAATCGAAATAAAAACAAATGTGGTTTTAAAGGGAAAGGCCTATTAACTATAATCCATTACGAATTAAATTGATTATTACATCCCGCCAAAAAACAGGCTCGAGTCTCACTTGTTTGCAATCATTAAACTGCGGCAGAGACGCGCAACACTTTGTGACAAGCTATGAACCAAATAAACTGTACTTTGATAGATGGAGCTGGTGATAAGAGTCAGCAGGTGGCCACAGTAATGTTTAATTGCCTTTTTAACTAAAGTTCTAGGTAACCCAGTCCCTCCCTTCCTCCCCCTCCATCACTCACTCCCCTCCATTGTTCGAATGTTCAGCTGTATGCTAATCGCTCCAAACTTGTTTTTTATTTAACTTCGCTCTCCAGAAGTTTTAATCCACGCCCCGAATCCCGGCCCATTGTGAGGGGACTTTAGTTGTGGGTCAGCAACGGTATGTCTTGAACACACAGGGACTTGTGTGGCAACAGAGCAGAAGTTATGCCGATCTTTCTTGGGACTTGTGTGGCGACTTCCTTTCATTCCTTTTCTTTCAATTCTTTGTGCTGTTCTGCTCCCTGAACCTCCAGCTGCCTGTGTGTGTGTGTGTGTGTGTGTGTGTGTGGGTGTCTGTCTGTGTGGGTGTCTGTCTGTGTGTGTATGTATGTGTGTTCGTACTTGTTAAATATTTCTTGTTTGGGGGGAGCTTTGTTATTCTGAAGTCCTACCTTGTCACCTCTTCTATTCTCTAACGTTAACCCCCCTCCCACTCCATCCCAACCCACCCGTAGCCTGCACTCCCCAGCACAGACACAGACAGATGCTCCCAGACTCCGCTCCCGCCAACCCCCCCCTCCCCTCCACGACAGCTGCCTGGAATTAGCTGTTCAAACAAGTGGGCGGACGGCTGGTGAGCCAGGTGGGGCCAGGGTGAACCTCGAGCCACTGTGAAACGCGCTCAGTGAAACCTGCGGTCGTAGCCGAGATGGCTCTCAACGGCTGTTTGTGTGTATAAACATGCCCGCCGCTGTTATGTGTAAACACGCCCTGAGCTGACAAGGTAAACGGAGCAGTGGAGTGGCTCCCGGCTCGTGCCAGAACTGAGGTGCCTCCGGAACTGTAGAGCCAGGTGCTGCCCCACCCACCCACCCCCCAGCCCCGCACTGCACCGCTCCCAGAGTAAATACATTTGCGAAGCACTTCAGAGAGACGGGGGGGGGGGGGGGAGAGGGGGAAAGAAACATGTCAAACAGGCCACGAGCAGTAATTGCAGCTTCCTGCATTAACCACACACTGTACACCGTAGTGTAACACCAGCACTGCTTTACCTTACGTGCCCTCATTAATACTAATCGGCCCTCCTCTTTGTCCGCACCTTCGGCCCCACCTTCCTAACCCTCTCTGCCCTCTGCCCTCCCTGATCTCAAGCCCCTACCCCCCCCCACCAAGACAGGTCCAAATCGTTGACCGTCCAGCGCCTCGGGACGTGTGTCCTCCCGACGTGAAAGGTGCCGTGTAAATGTCATTCGATAACGTCACAATAATAATCCTCGCAGTTGGTTTACGTCGCTTATAGAGTCAGGATTGCCTCAAAGCGCTTCACAAACTTTCCGCCTCCCAAACCATCAGCCGGTCTGCACACAGCAACGTCCAAACCAACAGCCAAAGGGAATTTTGGATTTTATCTGGAGGATTGTTGGCCAGGACGCACCTGGAGAAAGACTCTTCCCCCTCTTTTTTGGACCTTGGGATGTTTAGTATTCACCTGAACGGCGTAGCTGGGAACCTCAGTTGAACGTCTCACCTGATAGGCCTGTGAGGTCAAAGTCCCAAAAGGGGGGCTTGAACCCACAACCTTCTGACCCAGAGCCAGACTCAGACTTTTACTTACTGAGCCTGGGTGACACCTGCTTAGGATGCTTACTGATCTCTCGCTCTCTCTCGCTCTCTCTCTCGCTCTTATATTTCTTTTACTGAACAAAATTAACTTTTTAAAGCACCCCCTTTTTTTTTTGTGTCCGAATTTTTTCAAAAAAAGCGGAATGCAAACCCCGGCCTCTGGAGGATTGCCGTCCGTGAGTGGCACTTATTAAATGCTGAGCCGCGATCCGCCTTTGTGGCTATTTTTCTGTCTTACTCAATGGCTTGTCTCTTGGTGACAGACTGTGTGACAATGGCTCTTATGCTAAAGGGCCCTACAGGTCACCTCTGGTCTTTGTGCAGTGTACGCTGCGAGGCTGGGATGCCTCGTAATTCCAAACCGGTTACTATGGAGAAATCAATGCAAAAACATGGAAAGCAACACAGCGCATATTTTATTTGGCCCGTTTTACCCTTTTCCCTTTGCTTATCCCTCCACCGCCCCCCCCCCCCCCCCCCTTCCCCCCATTCTAAGCTTGTTTGACTTGTTTAAGCAGCGGTTTTTGGGGGAGTAAACTGCATATTAACCGGAGCCAACGCTAGCCAGCAAGGCTTCCTGGCACCGCAGACTCTGAATAAAAATGAAAGTTACAAAGAAGAGACACAAAAGCACAGCTGGAGTGCGGGGAGGAGGAGGGAGGGCGGGGGAGAAAGAGGGAACGAGTGTGTGGAAAAAAAAAGGGGAGAAGGAAAGCAAAAGGACACAGTCAAATAGCCAAATCTCGAATGAATCTTTCAAATACATGATCCAAGATCGTTTTTCAACAAAATTCGCATAGAGTTAAAGATCTTAAGATCTCCGTGGAAGATCTTTGTGGAAGCAAGATATCATAATAAATAGTCCTTGCGTTTGAAATTAATATCAATGTTTGACGGTGTATAAAATTCAAGATCTAAGCATAAAGTCACAGACCGGAGCAATCATTCAGATCTTCGGTTTCAGTGTGTCCTCAGTTCTCACGCGTTTCGCCCACAAAATATATGGTCAATTCACTTTCCAGTGTATCCTGTGAAGCGCTTTGAGACGTCTCGACGATGTGATAAGGCGCTGTGTAAGGATTATTATTATTTCTATCATATATATGTCCTAATGGGCACTGGCCTGGGGCTTGGGGAAAATGTTAATGTTCATTGTTCCATTTATTCTTCACAGACTTATATCTTCACCGATGGCGAAGACGAGGAACTAAAGAAAAGGACAGGTAAGCTAAAGGGTCTTTTGCGGGGGTGGGCGGACAGGCTTGGGGGGGAGTGGGGGGATGGGGGGAAGGAGTTGAAGACGAAGGTCATCCAAAGTTTCCCGCTGTAACCTCTCCACATCTGGAAAGAATTCTCTTAATATTTAATGGACCCAGAGCAAAATTGCAATGACCTGAAATCTAATTGAGCTTCCTTAATTATACACTGCTTATTAACATAAAGACGGAGCAACGAGGAATTTTTTTTTATTTGTGTGGGGGGGGAGAGAGAGAGAGAGAGAGAGAACAGGAAGGGGAGGAGGGCAACTGATGCTCACAGCTGTACACATGCCATTTCCTGCAAAGTACCACGTGCGATCTTGGGAGCGTGGGGCTGGTGATGGGGGACTTGCAATGATATTTGCTCAAAACGATGCTAAAATAGAAATGGTACCCATTTGGCCCCGGAGATTAAAGAGCGAGTGTGGGGAGGGTGGCGGGGAGGTGCTGGAGAGTGGGGGCGGGCGGGATGGGGTGGGGGGAGACAGGAAAGCAGGTTTGCGCTCAGATGAAATGTTCCTGAGCTTTAGATCACGCTCACTGGTGTGTGGCAAGCTGTCACTACTGTTACGGTGAATGTATGAAAATGTGGTGCGTCCAGAGCTGAGCGGGATGTGAGAAGTTGCTGCCTGTAGCCTTACCCACATCTCATCCCATTTCCCACCCCCCACACACCCCCTCTCTCGCTCCCTCTTCCCTGCAACCCCCTGCGGTTTGGGGGCTTGGCTGGGCCATCAGGGTGATTGATGGTTGTCAGACCTTTACAAGCCGACAGCCTTTCATCCCTTTTCACACTGTCTGCCACCTGTCACATGGGACACCCCGGTGTGTGTGTGTGTGTATATATATATATATTTTTATATTATATATATATAGTATATAAAACAAAATCGTTTCGGGGAGAAGAAAAGACATTGTTACCGTGGGAACGGTGGCTGATTTATCTGAAGCCTGAGCACACACATTAAGTGGTTGAGTAGAAGGACACAGTACAACCTTCCCCACACGCACACGCACCCACCCACTCGTTTACTAGAACCCTAAAAGCTACTCGCAAACCACGGCTCCTCTAATTTTTTTTAGCGCACCAACACCTCTCCCCCCACCCGCACCCCCCCCCCCCACACGCACACACACACGCACACAACACACGGTTAAACTTTGCATCAGTTTGCACCAAGGCTGGAAAACCCTTGTTAAAATAATAAAAACATTGGAGTTCTTCCAACACCTGCCTTTTTAACAGCTACGGTGTAAAGATTGCACAGGTCGTTTACTTTGAAATGCAACACACTCGGAGCATTGCGAAATCCCTTCTCTGTGCACTTGTGCGAAGGTTAATTATGGACGGTCAAAGATAAGCAACGGACTCTTAAAGCAAAGAGCGCTCAATGAGTGGCTTAGTTTCTCATGCAGCGACAACAACAGCTTGCATTTATACAGCGGCCCTCTACGGAGCGCTTAGGATAGACAAGTTACCACATTGCAGCCATTTCACCAACGCCTTGTCCTGAGTAGTTTTTGCCGGCGGCCGACATTGGGGTTTGTCTGGAGGACGATGGGCTGTGGCACAGCGTCTGGTACCTGTTGTGTGAATTGCTGCGGCTGTGCTTGTCCACAGGCGGTCGCATGGTCAACACCAACTGCTCGGCCGCTCACAGCCGCCAGGCCCTCTCCTGCAAGATGGCCGTGGAGTACGACAAGTTCATCGAGTCTGGAAAGAAGTGAGTAAAAATCCCAGCCATTATTATTATGATTATTAACCAAAGCTCTCCCCTCGCCTTCCCCCCCACTCCCACTCCCCCCCCACCCCCATCCCACCCCCCCACCTACTACTCCTCTAATTCATCTGTAGCATTTCACAATGTCCGCAATTGGGGGAATTCTTGATTTCAAAGCCAGTTGGGAAATTTGCACAATCTGCAATGAGGTCTAACCCTGGAGTGAGGTAGGATTCTTACCCCCTCCTCCCTCCTCCCCCACCCCCCCCCACAAAGGAGTGGCCATTACTATAACAATAATAACAATCCTTGCATTTGATATGGCGCCTCATCATGTCTTCAAGACGTCTCAAAGCTCTTATAATAATCCCTCCAAAACCAAAACAATAATAAATTGGTCATTTTCAATCTACGACTGTTTGTGGGACATTGCTGTGCGCAATTGGCTGCCGCGTTCGCCCACAAATATACAGTCAATTCACTTTACAGTGTGTTCTGTGAAGCGCTTTGGGACGTCCTCCCGACGTGAAAAGCGCAATATCAAATGCAAGGATTATTATTATTATTATATTATAGCCATTCCCAAGATTGGTTTAGGTCAAGAAACCTCTTTGGTCCATTTGTTCTCATCTGTTCACAACACCCACCCAACCATTCTCCCATTACAGGTTCAAGTTCTTCAATGAGCTATTTGGGGGCTGGGGGTGAGGGGTGAGGAGATGATAAAGACTTGAAGAGCAAGTACACATACAGCCCCTTGGTGCTGTGTTGAACGAATGAATGAATAAATGAGAATTTGAATTTGAGAACCACTCCAAGCTTATCTCAACCACCACAAAACCTCAAGGATCTAGAAATGATTCGGTTTTAGGAACTGATAACTGATGTGGTGGTTAAAGGTAACTGGTTCTGACTGCACAACATTCACAAATGTGGATCTACTGTGGTGTGTGTGTGTTGTATACAGTAATGGAGATGGGCACTTACTGATTTTACTCCTCTCTTAACACTGAGCTCCCAATCATTGCACTCACACTGCGGGCCGGCTGTGGCTCAGATGAGCTTTGGCCCTGGCAAACGTCTCGTCTCTCTCCTGCCCAACTCCCTCCCTCCCCATCGCTGACCATTACAACTCCACATCTTTCAGGTGGTTCTGCCACGTGGACGACGACAATTACGTGAATGCGCGCACCCTGGTGAAGTTACTGTCTCAGTACCCTCATGCACAGGACATCTACATCGGCAAACCCAGCCTCGATCGCCCTATCGAGGCCACTGAGAGGATCAGCGAAAATAAAGTGGTAGGTGTCATATTCGGATTCTTTCTTTTTTTAAAAAAATCCCCTCTTTCCTCCCCCGCAAATCCAGGGTGTCGAGGCCAATTGTAATGCATGCCGTTCCCAAATTAAATAGACTATCACAGACTGGGATCAACCCTTGGGACCCTTTCCAGGCTGTGCTGCTTGGCTACTCAGTGCAGTAAACGCTACATTCTTGTAATGCAACAACAACAACAAATTACACTTTTAAAAGCGCCTTTCACGTGGGGAGACGTCCTAAGGCGTTGGACATTCAGGGATCCCCTGGACCCGAGCTGGTGTTTGGGATCAGGGAGAGGATGGAGGGCAAGGAAAGGTAGGGGTAGGAGGGTGACTGAATGGGCGGTGGAAGAGGAAGGGGGTTTCTTGTGATGTGCTTTGAAGGAGGCGAGGGGAAGGGACTGTGAGATGGAGTTCCAAAGGGCGTGGGGTGGGGGCCAGAGAGAGAGGCTGAAGGCTCGACAGTCGATGACTTTAATGCAGCGAGTGACTTGACCCTGTTGTTTGCTTGCAGCGTCCAGTGCATTTCTGGTTTGCGACCGGTGGAGCTGGCTTCTGCATCAGCCGAGGATTGGCTTTGAAGATGAGCCCGTGGGCAAGGTACGGATCTCGGTCCACCCCGAGATGGGAGTGGCCGGGAAACTCGGGAGCTTGCTCGTAATTTATGACTGAACTTACCCTTTTATGGACGACAGTGATGAACCCCATTTTTTTTTTTTGCACGCCAAAATAAAGTTTATCCACCTCCTTTGCGGCACAGAAACCTGGCAAAGGTTCAGTAATGGCTATTGAGCACATTAATCATACAGGAGATGAGTGTGCGTGTGCGTTTCCAAAGTGGCGTGTTCAGGCTTGGAGATGTTGACATAAGCAGTAATGAAAGGAAATGGTAACTCTAGCGCCGGGGTTGATTTTTTAGCAGCGCTTTGCTCCTGCAGTTAGGAAGCCGTTCGTAGCGGTTGGTTTGTAAGAGTTCCTGGTTCCTCTCGGGCTGTAACAACCGATTAACGCCCCCGCCCCGTGTTTTCTCTCGCAGCGGAGGGCACTTCATGAACACGGCAGAGAAAATCCGTCTCCCGGACGACTGCACGATCGGGTACATCATCGAGGCAGTTTTGGGAGTGAAGTTGATCCGGAGTAACCTGTTCCATTCGCATTTGGAGAACCTCCAGCAAGTACTGAGATCTGACATTGCTAACCAGGTAAGCCACGCGGCTAGGAAACCATGAAAAAAGGCGTCACTGCTCTTGAGTGGTTTAAGCGCCCCGGTGCGTGATGCTGCCCGGTGTGAAGGGCGCTATATAAACACAAGTTGTTGCCATTATCTGCTGTGTGGAGAAACGCTACCCTTCTGTCCGTCTCTCCATTTTCAGGTCACGCTGAGCTACGGGACGTTTGAAAACAAAAGGAACGCCATTAACATGAAAGGCGGCTTCTCTGTGGAGGAGGATCCATCTCGGTGAGTGTGAGACTCGCACCTTTGCGAAGCAGGGCACGTGAATGATCCAGCACAGCAAGTTCCCTGGTCCCATTTAGCCCACAAATTAAATACACAGTCACTCTACTTTACAGTATGTTGTGTGAAGCGCTTTGAGACCACTTGACGACGTGGTAAGACGCTATATCAAATGCAAGGATCATTATTATTGTATTATTAAAGTGTGGCTTGCTAAGTATGCTGTAAAAGGCCATAATAGCTGCGGCTTGACTACAAACACAGTCACTGCACTTTACATTAAATTCCTGTGAAGTGCTTTAAAGACGTCTCAACTACGTGTTACGGCACCATATCGAATGCAAAGATTGATACCTATTTATTGACTGAAATGAGATATTTCAGTGGTCTCTTGTATAACTAACTAAAGCCTTTTCGTTTGTGTCTTTCTTTCTAGGTTTCGTTCAATCCATTGTCTCCTCTACCCCGATACCCCATGGTGTCCCAGCAACTTCACTTATTAACCTCTAACCTCTTCCCATGTAACCCTGGTACCTGAAGGGAGGGGAGGGTGGGGACCACTGTGTGTGTCTGGCTGTGAAGCTCTTATGTAGCTGCTTTAATGCATATTGTTGGGCTGCAGGGGCTGCTGTGCGGCCTGGTTGTATGGCTACGTCCTTTGTGTTGCTCTCCTGTGTGGAGTCTTGTACAGATCAGAGCCATGCTTTGAATCCCGAGCAGAACAGGGAGCGAGCGAGCGAAGGGGCAAAGACAGATGGACTTTGTCGCAAGGATGAGCGCTGGTGTGCGTCATTATTTCGCCCCACCCACACCACCCACACCAAGTGTGAAATTGAAAATGTTGCTGAATTGTCAGCGCTGTTTGTACAATGTCAACAAACCCTCCTCGGGCCAGCTTCGGACACTCGCTCTTACCACTGCTCTCCCTGACGAACGTTTTCATCGCACATTAGGAGAATTGCCAGTAGATTCATTCTGGATGGGAATCCTGGGTTAAGTTGGAATACCAGGCACTGCGATGCTAAACTTCGAAGCGTCAATTTTTAAAAAAAGAAAGAAAACTGAAGCTAAAATAGGACTCGGAACCCATTTCTGAAATGACCAATTTGGTTTCATTTCTCAAGCAAATTTAGAACCAACAACAAATGACATTTACGTCGGGAGGACTTCCCAAGGCAATGGAGAGTCGGACAGGGATCAGGAGGGTTGAAGGGCAGGGAGGGAACGTTTAGAGCTGCCTCCTACCATTTCTGGCGAGGACTTGTTTATCACGAACACTCATTGTACTGTACACGCTGTCGTTTGGATCACTGGGACAGTTTGTGTTTGACGCTGGCACCTGGAGACACCTCGACACAGCCTCCGATTGTTACTGAGGCCTATCTGTCTGTTTGTCTGCGTGCGTGCGTGTATGTTTGAAGCACTTTCCTTCCTCCTGTTGAAAAAGAATTCAACGACTTATAAAATGATGCAGAAAGGAGCCGGTTGACTGTTGAGACACTCAGCGCTGGATTGAATCTGGAGCATGTGCTGCACTGTTAATGGAAGCCGGAGCGAAAATATTCTTACAGATTTTTTTTTTGCTGCTGCTCATTGTTTTATTTTCTTGTTTGACGAAGACACAATATTTTCACAGCAGGGTTGGAATCTAAATCCCGCTTCTCTGCCCAGTTAGCTGGCTGGAAAGCAATTTTGTACGTGCGAGGGCAGTAGTTTAGCTCTGTGCTCATTTACACCATTGATGCTGATGTTGGCAACACTGTAAAAGTACACACGGCATCAGTAGAGACTGCCTCGTCTTAAGTCTAACCCTGTCCTAACCAAAGTCCCGATATCCGTTCTTTCCAGTAGTGTTGTAACTACCACCTCAAGCACCGAGGCCATCTCTTACCACCTGCCCCCCACCCCGTACCCGAGGTGAGATTCCCAGCGCAGAGGAGAACCTTCCTGGGTCATTTCCACTGAGCCATCGAGGTTACCTTTTTAACCATTTCTCCCACGACTTCCTTCAAATGTGTAAGTTGCTGGCGCACCCCGTTAACCGTTTACCAGCCTTCTTATGTTCCCCTCCCCTTCCTCTCGACCAGTCTTTGCAGACCTGTAGGTGACAACGCATCTTCCTTTCTGCTGGATTTGGGGAGTAAGAGGGGAAGAAAGGAGCTAAAGGTTGTCTTATCATATGTGTAGCACTTGGAGCAGCATGTGTGAACCATGCTGTGGTCTGTAATAGTAACCCATACTGGGTTATCGTGTACATATTTATCCAGACAGTAATTACTGTGGTTTTTTTGCAACGCTGTATATTTGAAAATGGATGTTTGATATTCAGAAATCTTTCTGATGATCTGTAAAAACGTGATGTTTAAACTCGTAGACTTGATACCTTCTGCTATTTATATTCCAGCATCTGGAAACAATTAAGATATTGTACATAGTGCTGTAAATAGTCACTGATACTCAGGGAGAAAACCTGAAACTGTTAATATGGGAACCTTATGGGGACCCATCATCCTTTCCTTTCTAATAAAGGACTTATTGCTTATTAAAAAAAATCCTGTTGGCTGACTTCTTATGTTTGGTGTATTTCTTATTCCAAATCTTACAATCCCCCCCCCAATCCTAGGAGATGTATTGCTGTGAACTCAGTCCCCAAATATACTTATTCACCCACAAAAAAGTGGCCCTCACTTTACAGTAAATCCTGTGAAGAGCTTTGAGACAGCCTTCTGACGTGAAATACGCTAAATCAAATGTAAGAATTATTACAATAAGTAGTCAAAATTGGTCCCAGATAAGAATGACTTCAAGTGTAACTGAAGTCTCTGCCTTGAAATAATCCTATGCAAAACCAAACGACTGGAAACCCACTCAAAGCATAAGCTGCATTGAGGCAATGTATAGTCCAGTATTTGAGGGCAAGGTTTGCTTGTAGTTGAACAAGGTGGTCTTAAAACCTGCAGTGGATTATATAGAGAGTGATTTACTTTTGATGTGTCATGACACTCGATAGTTTTTTTTGAAGCAAAAAAAAGTATTAACAGCACATCTACAGCAACAAAGAAAGTACTAAGACTGCCAATGAGGTTCAGCTTCTGCTCATGAAGGGTGGACTCGAAAGACTAGAGCTGTCCTAACCAGAAGATCTGTAGGTTGTAAGATCAATTCGGCGTTACACACACAGAATCACAATACAATTCAGCAGAACTCTGTGGGCGGCTGTTTCCTGCCAAACCCCATTGGAAAACCAAGCTGGAGTGAGTGAGTGTGCGATACAATACAAGATATCTCTCTATCAGGTTCGCTCAGTATCTGTGCATTGAATACTGTACAGTTTCCCCTCATGATCTCAACCGGAATTCAAATTATTCATGGAACAAAGGCTGTCACAAGTCGGCTGCCTGTCGCTTAAACTCAATTGCTTCAATTTCTGTGAGTTTTTGCTGTTTGTTATTGAAGAGGCAAAGCTGTTGGATTAGACCACCTCTTGACCGCTTGACCGCTTACATTTAGTGGCTGCTCACCAACCTGCACTAACAGCATTCAGGGCACACCACAAACTGGCTATTGTGATTTGTAAAGGTCACACACTTGTCATTTGTAGCACAGTTATTATAATAATAATTATAGTTAGTTACAGGTTAACATTTTTCATTCACATTTCCCACTTTAAAATGTTTTCATCTGGGTCAAACCTTCAGCAAAGTTGCTGGGTGTCGGACACACACATAAATCCATTAACATACTTAAGAGTATCCAGACCAAAAGTACTGAAGTCCCACATATGATACACATGGAAATTTGATAAGAGTCTGCACACTCACTCCCCAGAAAGATAATACTAATAATCCTTGCATTTGATGAAGCGCCTTCTCACGTTTTCGAGACGTCTCAAAGCGTTTCGCAGGATACACTGTAAAGTGCAGTCACTGTGTTTTGTGGGCGAAACACGGCAGCCGATTGCGTTCATCTAATGCGAGAAAGTATTAGATGCAGGTTGGCAAGGGCCAAAGTTTTGGCGACCCCAGAGCGTGTGTTGAAATACTGCTCAAGTTTAAACCATCTAAATGAGTACGGTTTGCCATTAAAAACAGTCTCGCCACAGGAAGCACATGAAAACAAGGCAGACATTAAGTTCTGGTATGTTTGCTCCTTTATGTAAACAAAAAACATCTGTAACATCTATATGTACCTCCAAAAGATCATTTGGATAAGATTTGATCAGGAGCTCGTCTGACCACTGCGATTCAAAAACAATTTCTTGATTTCCAAAGAGTTTTCCAAAAAAAACATACACACAGACACACACACAATGCCGGTGAAGACAAAAGCAGCAGGATATCCCCCAGAACCTCGAGATAAGGAGGTAAACTCCATGTTCCTCTTCACCCCATAGGGACATCCTCTATTTGTTTAAAATGAATCCAAACTAATCCAAGTGTGCGCTGAATCCAAAACAGCACCAGTTATTCTGGGCTGAGCGTGGCACATTTTTATGAACAGGGCAGAGGACTTTTACAGGCAGAGTGTGTGTTCGGGACACTGTAACTAATACAGCACTGTGGAGTTTGCGGTTCTTTTACTTATAAAAAGGAGCCTTGTCAAAGCCCCAGTTCTGATATGTTTTTAGTCCAAGTAAAATCCTTCACTTCCTCCGTGGCTGTTTGTGGGGACACTGCTGTGCGCAATTAGCTGCTGTGTTGTCCACAAAACACACAGTCAATTCACTTTACAGTATATCCTGTTTTTAGATCGATTGGGATTAAAGTTTACAATGGGCACCGAATGTTATCTGGGACCGATATCCAATTGGATTCCAAATAACATCCCCATGTTTTGGCCCTTCCTAGGGAGGTGCCCTTTAACAAGTGGGACGCTGAGCTCTTTCTGCCAACGATTGTGACAGAAAACCTGAATGATGTGTGGACAACAGCAAACAGGCAAGGATTAAATCATTCTCACATCGTTGCAGCTAAAGACTTGGACATTTGTGAAAGGATAAGGCTGTTTGTCTCCGTCTGGTTTGCTCAGCCTCCTAGCAAAACTGTTTAATTCCCGCATTTGCATTCCCCAGAATGATTGCCTGACTGTCAGACAATATGTATGGCGTCACTGAGCTGTTCCACTGTGACACAGTGGGTGGTCTATAGTCTGTCCATTTGCAAAGCTTTTTGTGAAGACAAAGTGTCCCTATTTCCAAAAATCTGCTTTCACATCTTATGGATTGCTCAAAGAACAGAAGGGGATTAAAAAAAAACTTGCCGCTAATTTTACGAGTGCCAGGGCGCTTTTACGCGGCATCATCTAAATTCTAAAGCATTCTCGTTACATCGGGAATATAGTGAGCGCAGGAATGATAATTGCATCCCGCATTTTCACAATCCCTGACCACAACACAATCTCCTGATCAGCCCAGTTCATAGCTCTCCCACCCACACTCCAATATGGTCAGCCTCTAATTCACATACAGCATAGCATACCTCTGGCTCGTTGTAACTCCACAAGAAACAGAATGGATTTGTTAAAAAAAAACTCACTCAGTTTGGTTTGGAACCTCTTAAGCACGGTGAGGGGTTTCCGCATTGGCCAGATGCCCGGCTGACCCCAAATAAATTAAATCCTCACTCCAGTTTTCATTTCGCCACCGAACAAGTGCTGTTCATAATACACGAGAAGGGAGTTAACGGGTCTAATCTGCGGTGTTTCTCAATAAGAAATAACGTGTAATTGACATCGAACGTGCTGCGGTCGATGTTTTAGGAGTTCAGTCAGTGAACGAGGGTTGCCGATGTGTAAATCTGTTAAGAAGTGCCGTAAATGAGACCGCATTTTAAGCCTAGTGACAACAGACAGAAACAAAAAGTCCTGAAAAATATCAAGGGGTGCAAGCCAGTCAAGTAGACACGTCAGCAAACATTCAGTGGGGTGTCGCTGTACAGGTTGAAGCATTCTAAAGAGTATGACTGTCCTTCAGAAATAATAATAATAATCTATAATTTTTCCTTGCATTTGATACAACGCCTTTACCATGCTGTCGAGGCGTCTCAAAGCGCTTCACAGAATGTATTACAAAGTGGATCGACTCTGTATTTTGTGAGCGAACTGAGATTGCATTCAGCGACAAGGAAAGGGCTGTAGTTTCTGAAGGTCAGTAAAACCGGAGCATTCAAACTGCATAAGAAAGAGCTGTAAGACACAAGCTATTGTATAGGTATTACTATACTTAGCAACCACAGATGGCAGATGCTTGCCCACCAGCTGCTACAACGACTGGGAATCCTGCGGCAGGGCAGAAGAAGTGGCAATGCACAGACACAGAGGCACTTTGTCCCTTTGTGACGAGCATAAGGTCATTCGGGAGAATGGCAGCGGCGAATCTCAACACTCAAATGACCTCAAATTGGGGTCCCAGGGAATAACCCTGCAACTCCCCCCCCCCCCCCACCCCCCGACTCAATAACTAGGATGTCACTCACTTGAGCTTTGTCACACTCGCAACAGCAACAAAAAATGCGGTGGAATTTACTGATCCTCACCAACTCCAATTGGAGTGAAATGCTTGTATTTTAATAATAATAATAATGATAATAATCCTATTAATAATCGACCATATTATTTTGCACAGTGGATTTGCAGAGATTTGGTGAGAGAGAGAGAGAGAGAGAGGGGTGGGGGACGTGCAAGGTACAAGAGTCGGTTTGTGTTTGCCGCTAAAAATCTGTGGGAAAGGAAATAAATTCAAAAACGATTTGAAGAGGAGCCCGTGTGTACGTTAACCTTTTTTCGGGGGGCGTGGAAGCATGGGGGGGGGGGGAAGAGGAGGATTAAGAGCAGTAACTGTGTCCGAAAAGAATCTCGTTTAGTGCGAGTGCGGAAACGTTAAAACAGCCCAAGCGAAGTTAAACAATCAGAGACTTGTTAATGGATTTTACTGAGGCAGGGGAAATGTCGAATTAATGTTGCTGGTGACTTTTGAGCGTAAATAATTCCCATTCAGGTTTTTTTTGTTGTTGTTGCGGGCTCGTTGCAAATGGTGTTAAAAGAAAACTCCCTGAGGAACCTGTGCATCTCCAAACTCGCTCAAAGTCATCACGAGGGGCCGCAGTTTACATGTTATACGATGTTTGCGGGGCATTTTTTTCAAAACAAAAAATGCAAGAAAATCAAGAGAGATTTACGTTTCAGTCCTGAATGAAATGAACCGAGGGATTCAGGCTCCCAGCGGTGCTATTGACCAAACGCCGTTACCAAGACGATTTTTTAAAAAAAGAGAGAAAATGTGTTCCCCTTCCCCTAAAAAAAAATCCCTACAAGAATGGTTCTTTTTATCTTCTCTCGCCCTGGTTTTGTTTCGTTTCCTTCAGGTCAGGTTTGCCCTGAAAGAGAATTACCCGAGTGTAAAGGAAGCAGGACGCTGGTGGATAATGCAGCTCTGATGTCTGTAAGCATTTCTAACTCTTCCCCCCCACTCCCCAAAAGAAAAGCAGTCCTCGGCGTCCCAGCCCACCCTGACCCCAAGTGGTCAGTCACTCTCGCCTTCAAAGGAAGAGAGGCG